GCTAGGGTCTGGAACCAACTTCCAAGAGAGGTGGTGCAGGCTCCTACCCTGGGGGTTTTTAAGAAGAGGTTAGATGAACACCTTGCTGGGGTCGTTTGACCCCAGTACTCTTTCCTGCCATGGCAGGGGGTCGGACTAGATGAACTCGGGTCCCTTCCGACCCTAGAAACTATGAAACTGCTTCCCTAGACACAACCAGCATCACACTGAACCGACTGCTGGAATCGGTCCCTGGATACCATCAAAATGTATGTAAAAATGTAAACAGCAGCTTAGAAAGCAATTTCCTTCCTGCTAAATAGTGAGATTTAGGGCCCCCTGGAAGCAGAAGGCAGCTAATGCCTCGCTCACTGCAAGCCCTATCTTTTGGCCAGCGGTTGAGCCAGTGCCACGTATTTGAATGCAAGCCTGGAGCGTGGTGAGAGCTGTGCAGGTGCAAAGGCACCTGGCGCTGTAGATCGGGGGTGTCAGTCTCTGGAGCAGGAGCTCTGTGCTCCTGTCTGGGTGGGGGGTTGGCGCCTGCATCGTTTGAGGGTCTTAAGGGCAGGTTAGACCCACGCAGAGGCATAACCAGAATGGGTTGCCAGCATCTCCATGCAGTCCTCTCTTTCTGACCTGTGTCTCTGCAGCTCTCAAGTTGCCCCAGCCTTCCCTGCTATATGCTGAGGGCTGTTCTCATTACCCCCATCACCACCAGTAGCAAATCTGGCAGTGAGTGAAGTGATGGCTGCAGTAAAGGGGCACGAGAGAGAGCAGGAAAGGCCGGGCACTGCAGAGAAACAGCCCAGGGAGAGGGGAACACCTGGAGCAGAGTAGAGAAGGGGGATGCACCGGGGCGAGCTGTGCCACAGAAGGCAGATGGACCTGGGGGTACCCCGTCTAGATCCATGCTCGCAGCCAGGGTCCTGGTCGCCCTCCCCTAGTTATGCTGCTGGCCAATGTTTGTCAGGTGGAGCCCAGGCCACCCTGGGGCAGCCAGTTGATCTAGATGACCTCTTGAGGTCCTCTCTAGTGATCCTCGGGGGTCAATAAAGACCGTCAGGTGTGAAGAATAAGAACTAAACAACAACTTCTATTGTGGAGCAGTCAGCAAGTTTCTGCAGACCCTTTGTCTCTCTTTAACTCGCTCACTGAGGAACTGTCTCTCAATTCCTAACTTCTTCCACCTTCAAAGTTAGGGAACATCTGTAAACTATAGCACTGCACCTTCCAGCCATGTTCCCTGTAACTTGATTTGTTCTGTGCGATGGGTCAGTGAGTGGGCAGAGCTCAGCAGGAGAAGGTGGAGGGAGGCTCAGATGGAGAGACTGCATTGGTGTTTAGTTCTGATAGAGATGGCATCTCCCCCCCGGAGGAGGTTCCTATGGATCCCTCTCCCATCTCCTGCTACCCCGCACTGGTCCAGTGCGACACCGCCGTTGTGACACGTTACAGGGAGCAAAGTCAGGGCGGGTTCTCGGGGCTTTGAGTGGCAGGGCCAAAGACTCCCACTACTTCTGCTAGGAGCCAGTGAAGGGCAGAGCCTGCAAGGGACGCGGTCCTGGTGGCCAGGGCTGCTAGGACGGTGGATGCACCGGCATACATCTGAGTGCACAGGGTTGTGGTCCCCAGCCATACACGGGATCAGGGGCATTGCTGACTGGTTCGGAGCATGAAGAAAGGGGAGCTGTGCAGGGGGACAGGGAGCGGGGGCATAGACCGTGAACAAAGGCTCCTCTACGCTAACCTTGTGCCTGTCCTGTGGGCAATGCCCCTTCACGTGTCACTTCCACCTTCCACCGTTGTTTGGTGTCAGCAGTTACCAGAGTCTCCTTCTCTTGAAACATAGGGGAAAAGAGGATCTGGGGAAGTGAAAAGCACTTTGATGCTTGGGAAGAGACTAGCACAACTGATTAGGCAACTGGTTTATAAGCACCTTGAGGATAACAAGGTGATAACGAGCAGCCCCCATGGATTTATCAAGTGCAAAGCAATCTAATTTCCTTCCAAGTGGGTAATGGAGGAAGCAGCTGATGTGATTTGTCCCCTGTGCCAGGCTCATGAACAAGTGGGGGACATAGGATCTTGATGGTTTTTGCCATAAGCTCAGTGATGGCTGCAATGCTGTGCTCAGCAAGCTGCCGTCAGGGTTTGGTGGCCGAAATGGGAGGGCAGTTCAAACTGAGCCCTGCAGGCAACTGTCCTGAGCCTGGGTCTACTACTGTATTTACACACATATTACGCTCACCTTTCCCCAAAAATCAGCCCTCCAAAACTGGAGAGTTTCTGAAGCAGGAAAACTGATTCTTTTTCTCCTTTGCTGGAACAGAAGCAGGGAGACACTGCTGCAAGATGGCTACCAGCTTGTCTCAGGCAGCAGGAGGAGGGCGAGAGTCCAGCATTTACCTTTCACAGCCACTCTCAAATTGGCAGCAGTTTTTGGCAGCCAAAACCTCTTGCCCATTTGAGAGTGGCTGCAATGCGATTAGCGTTGGGCTCCATCCTTCCCGCTTGTTGTTGCCAAAAGATGTTGGCAGCCCCCTTGCAGCATTGCGTCCCTACGAAGAAGCCAGCTCTGGGCCGCGACGCTGGGAAAATCTGGGTTTTCTACCTTCTGCCTTTCACAGACAAGGCCTGTGTCTTATTTGAGGGGGTATGTGGCAGGCTGGAAAATGTGGTCGTCTGTTCCTGAATGACTTGGAGGATGGAGCAATGATTACACCTCTAAAATTCAGGAGTGAGGCTGAGCTGGGAGGGGTGGTAAGCCATCAGGAGGACAGCGTTATAACCCAGAGCAGTGCTCTGCAGTAAATGAAATTGGATGAACCCCACGGAGAAAACACTGCAGAGAAAGGGGGAGCTCCCCATGAACGAGGAGGGGCTTGGAGGGGGCTAAGGGGACAGGTCGAAGGCTTTGGGGGTGTTTAGGGGAGGCAAGAGAAGGCAGGGAAGCGGGACATGTCATTAAGGAAAAACGCAGCGATCACGTGTGTGCCACGTGCGAGACGTGGATCCAAGTGCTTGCAGTCCCCGTGGTGGGGTTCAGAGGCGACGCTTGCAGCACAGTTGGGGTCTGGCAGTCCCGGGCTTCAGGGCTTTTGCTGGTCACTTGTAAAGGCCTGGCTGGGATTTTCCCCCCCCTCATGAAGGCTACAAGCCTCTCGGGGGGGGGAGCCGGGGGGTGTTGGGGATAGGGGGGTAATTTTGCTTTCCTCTGTGACACTGAGATGGCTATAGCTGCGGCTGGGGGGCTTCCCATTAGGGTTCGCTTCCCTCTGGCTGGTACTTAAAATAGAGGAGGTCCCTGGCTAGAGGGTCTTGCTTTTCCACTCAGGGTCAGACAAGACACCAGATCTGGGTCAGGAAGATCTGACACTCTGTGCCTCAGTTTTCCCACCTACAAAAAAAGGGGGCTTTGCAGGCTGTCGCTGAAATGCACCATGCAAGAGCTGGGCGGTGGTCACCGTTTTCTTCCCGGTTACTCTCTTTGCCTTCCCGCTAGGTCTGGCCCAGCTCGGGGAGCGCTGGCTGGAGGGCAGAGAAAGGCACTGGGAGTCAGGGACCTGAGCTGCATTTGCCCAGCTCTGCCGCTGGCTCCTCCTGCCCTGGGGCAAGTGCTCTGGGCCCGTTCACAAGCGGCCAGGTGAGGCACCCAGAAAAATCAAGGCAGCCCAGGTTGCTGTATCAGTCCCAGTGCAGCCATAAATAAAATGGCTCGAGCCACAGGTGCGGGCAAGAGTGCTGCCATGCTGCCTGGCGGCAAATGTTTTGAACCTGAAGTAAAGCTAGGAGGTAGCTGCCATCAAGCAAGCAAAAGTTAATCTTAGAGGCCTATGTGCACAGTCAATTCATGCATTCAAATTGCTCGCTCAAGCCGCGGCTGACTGGAAAGCCCAGACCTAATCTCTGTGCCTCGGTTTCCCAGCCTGGAGGTAGGGAGGCATTACTGCCTCCATCCCCCAGTGGTGCTGGGAGGTTTGCTTGATGTCTGCTCTGTGCCGGGAGCCTTTCACCGTGGAGGACTGGCTCTGCCTTGTAACGATGGGCTCGCTGCCCTGACCTCAGTGGACCGGTTCCCTCGCGCTGCTGTTATTGCTGCTACACCCGCAAGGAGAAGCAGGGTCATTATGGAGCGCTCCCGTTCGGGGTCTCTGATGCACTGAGGGATGAGACCGCGGGGGTGGGGGGGCATGGTGTGCCGGTACCACAATGGCGGTGTCCCCATCATTCACTGGTACCCCCTGGCACGTGTCTGAAGTGGCACGGATTAGCTAGCTGCGCCGATGTAATCCCAGAATAAGGCATCATCGGGCTTACGTCCATGTAGGACTTCCCTCATTGCTTTTTGAAGGCCTACATGGAGGGAGCCCAAATGCTTGGTTGATCTGCTCGAGGAGTCGGGGGCAAAGCGGGGGTGCATGGCTGAGCTTGTGATGCTGGTCCTGCTCGCACCTCCCTGGGAGAGGATGCAGGGGAAGAGAGCGTCACCGGGAGCTTTCTGGCACCGTGATCTGGGTCTCCCCGTTCTCCACAGCCCCTCTCTCTCCTCCAGCTCTGCAGCAGGGTCCCTTAGCCTCGCTCATGCCTCTAATTCCTTCTCCGTGTCTTTACCAGCTCTTGGGGGGAGGGAACGGGGGGACATGTGCTGCCTCTCAGTGCCCCTTCATCCTGCACGAGGATGGGCAGTGGGAGAAACAGGAGCCAGGCTGGCCGGGGGGTTTGGGCGGGCCTGGCAAACCCGCAGCATCTCCTGCTCCACGCAGAGTCCGCGGCGTGCATGCTTTTGCAAGAGGCAGCAGCAAGTTTCACCATCATCCCCAGTCACAACACACAAGCCCCTGGCTGCATGGCCTGGCCGCTGCGTGTTGCACACCTACAATACAGGGGCGCGATGGGTGTGAAAGCACTGCAGGAAGACACCCTACCCCTCTTCCCCATCGCCTCTGGCCTTGTTGTGGACCCCCCGGACTTCCTCAGGGTTTGGAGAGGAGTGGAAGCAGCAGGAACCGGGGGGCTCCCACCATCCGTGACTGTCCTTCATGTCCCCTGCGTCATCTGCCGGGGGCATGGCACCCTGCCCCTGGAAGGGGGTGCGGAGTGGGGTACAGCGGGGTGCTGGCTCTTGCAGGCCTGGCTGCTGGGAGCTGAGCGTTCGGCCTGGTTCCTCGTTCGTGGGATGCCATCTAGTGGCACGTCGCTTCCTGGACACGGCAGAGAAGCCACGGCAGGTCGCCGCCTGGGAGAGCAGTGACGCGGGGCTGTCGTCCCAGCCACCCCCATCCCTGCCAGGCTCGGCGTACTGCTGCTTGCTCGCATCAGCTCAGCCACGTGCCGAGCCACTGGCCGTGGCAAAAGGGTGCGTACCACCCTGTTGGCCTCCAAGGGCGGTGGGGGTGAGGGCAGGCTAGGGCACCCGCTGAGACCCTCGGGGAGGCGAGGCTGGTCCTGAGCACAGAGGATTGGGCCTGGATGCAGCATCCGAGCCCCGCTCTAGCGAGGCTGGAAGGCAGTGGCCGGGTTTCCCCGTGGGAGCCTTGCTCCTTTGCGCTGGGCTCAGCATTGGTTGGGGTGATGCTTTCATGTGCTCGGCACCGTTCGGGGTCGGGGATTCAACCCAGCTGCTCTGCACCAAACGGGCAAGTTTTCCCCCAGCGGGCGGGCATCCTTGGTGCTCGTTCTGTCACATCCCTCACAAGGCGAGGCCCCCAAACCCTTCTCCCCAAGGACTCGGGGCGGAGGGCTGAGGCTGTACCCACTCGAAACAGCAACTCGGGTCACCTCTGGCTGGGAGGAGCCTGCCAGCTCCAAGAACATGGTAAAAGCCTCTTCTTTATTTGAAAATATCACACAAGCCCCTTGGACTCATGGCAGAGGTGATATCTTTTATTAGACCAACTCGATTTTTGCAACAACAACAAAAAAGTCTTAAATTGCAAGCTACCACGACCCCACTTGTCTTTCCTATCTAGTACAGGGGGCTGGACCCGATGATCTTCCAAGGTCCTTTCCGGCCTCGCAGTCTAGGAATCAGTCTAGGAATCTGTGTCCTGATCGCTTTTTCCTCCAGACCAATACGGCTACAACCTGGATACTTGCAACAAGCCCCTTTTTATTCAAGAAATATCAGGTGGCTCTAGACCCTGCCAACACAGGTTTGGCCATCAATGAATCTCCCCCTTCAATGCTTTCTTATTCAGGTTGTGTGCGCCTTTTTACCCAGGATGCCTTGGGGGGTGTGGGGGGCTGACCCTTTAAATCTGGCAGAAGCAAACGGCTTTAAGCGGTCCTTTCACAAGGACCGGCTGGTGGGAACTTGCCTTTATTTCCCAGCTGGTGAGGACTTGCTCTGTTTCCTTCTCATCTCTTGCTGAGGCCTGTGGCTGCAACGTGCCGTGGGCAGGTATCAAGTTGCTGTCTGTCTGCATGGATGCGGAGGGGAGGTGTTAAGGGTTTTCTGGGTTATTTGGGTGGGGTCTTTGCTTTTAATCTGTTTGGCCTTAACAGAGCTGGCTTCTCTTTCCTTGCGCTGCTTCTCTCAAGGGTGCTGTCTCGCGTTTGGTTGCAATCTTGGTCTCAACTCAACAGCGCCTGTCGACTGGGGTCTGTACGAGTGCCGGCAGCTTTGCTGTCTCCAGCAGAGACAGTTTTCCTTGCTGTGCCCCTTTCCTAGGATTTTCTCCCACTCTTTGCAAGCGGATGATGATGATGTTGTCAAACGGCCTCTTGACCTAGAAACAGGGAGAAAGGGTCTGGGGCTGTTGGAGGCCAGCCCGGCTCTCCTCCGAAATAGCCCGGATTGGCTGGTGTTCAAGGGCTGTTGCAAAGTCCGACTCATTTCACTTGGTTTTGGGCACGTGGGGAATTAAGTGGGCATCTCTGAGTACCGCGTTACTGCCTCTGGCCTTTTCCTGCCCCAGCCTTTAAATTGCAAGCTCCCTCGCTTAGTCCCATGCCCAGACCTGATTGATCTCAAGACTTATCTAGACTGGGGAACGGCCCTGATTTCATCCACGGCTGACGACAAAGCTGTAACGCGCCCTCATGCAGCGCAGCCTGGCTTGCCACCCGGTTTCCTGACTTAGGGGTAGGTTTGCTCTCTGTCCAGACTAGGCCCCTGGGTCTCCCACTGGCTTGTTGTGGCCACCAGCACTTCTGGGCTATGAAATGGGGGCTCTTCCTCTCCCTCCTGTACCGTCTGTCCTCTCCTTGTTTTGGAAAGGAAGCAATCGGCAAGACGGTCATCTTAAAGGGGATGATGATAGTGGTGGTCTTCCTCCGCGGTGGACAGGGCGGCACGCAGCTGAGCGGGGAATCAGCCCCGCGCGTCTGCCTTGCTCCCTCCTGATTTTCCAAAGCTCTGAGTAAGACACAAGAGGGTAAGACGTGGGCTCTGGGTTGCAGCACTTTCCTGCCCAAGTGCAGGGGGGCTGGACCTGATGATCTGTAAGGTCCCGTCCAGCCCCTAACAAGTGCATGCAGGGTTTCCCCCCACTCTGCCATTCGATCCTCCTTCGCTTTTCCCAGGCTTCTGCCTCACTGGGGAAAGGCGCGGAGCAAACCGAGGGGCAAAGCCATGAGGACCACCCATGCAAGGGGCCCGGGGCTGAACTTCCTCAGGGACGAGGCGTCAGGCTTATCCAGAGCAGCCAGGAGGATTTCCATCTGGACCCAGTAGCTCCGAACCTGCCACCAGCCCAAGTGTGTCTGCAGGTTGTTATGGGGCCGAGAGGTGGCACCCGCTGGACTGACGCTGGTGGGTGTAGGTCCTGTCTACTGCCCCAGGAGCCTGTGCTCCTGGGGTCTCCCTGCCAACAGGCTTCTTGGGTGACCCTGGACAGTGACTTGCTCTGTCCGTGCCTTGGTTTTGCTAGTGCAGTTGCACTTAGGAACATGGGCAAGTCGCGCTGGAAGGGACCTCACAAGGTCGAGTCCAGCCCCCTGCTCGGGGCAGGATCATCCTTGACTATAAACCATCCCAGCCAAGCATCTGTCTGATCTGCTCCTGAAAGTTTCCAGGGATGGAGACTCCAGTCTCACGGCAGCCTGGTCCAGTGCTTGATCACCCTCATAGTCAGAAAGCTCCTCATCTCCCACCTGCGTTTCCTCTGCTGCAGCTTGAGGCCATTGCACCTACTCCTGTCTCCTACAGCCACAGAGTAAAGGCCATCGCCATCCTCAGTAATCACCTTTCAGGTATTTGAAGACTTACCAAATCCTCCCTCAGTCTGCTCTTTTTCCAGACTAAAGAACCCTATTTCTTTCAGCTCGGCCTCATAAGTCTTGCCTTCCAGGCCCCTAATCATTTTTTTTTGTTGTTGCTCTGTGCTGGACTCTTTTCAATCTGTCTGCACCTCTTTGGAAATGTGGGGCCCAAAACTGGACCCAGTGCTGGGGCCCCACCAGTGCTGAACACAGCAGAAGAATCGCTTCCACTTCCAAAATGCATGTTGGATTTGGTAGGAAAGCCTGGCTAGCTGGCACTATGGTCTGTACCTGCGTCCCGGTGAAGCCAATAGGACTGGAGCATCTACTTCCCCTCAAGCACGTGTTTAAATGTTATTCTCATCCTGGGCCTCCACCAGCCTGGTGGCCTCCTACGACCAG